CAGGGCCGTGGTCTGCCACGCGGGACACGTCCACGCCCAGGTGATTGGCCATGAAGCCGAGGATGGAGAAGATGACGAAGCCAGCATAGACACTGGTGGCACAGTTGGTGATGCTGATGATGACACTGTCCCTGATGGAGAGGAAAACAGTTCAGCTCCCCTCTCCCCAGTTTGGGCCAAGAGGAGACATGGAGACAGGGAAAGTTCTAGAAACAAAGGCATCCCCAGCTCCTTTTTTTGGGGTGGGAGACAGGGTCTCACCCTGTTGTCCAGGCTGGAGGGCAGTAGTGCTATCAGCTCACTGTAGCCTTGATATCTTGGTCTCAAGCAATCCTCCCACCTCAGCCTCCTGAGTAGCTGAGACAACAAGTATGTGTCACCACACCCAGCTAATTTTCTTTTTTTTTCAGTGTTTCATTCCTGTCAAAAATCATGAGGATATGACATTAACTGATAAAAATCATTATATAAGGATATAACATTAACTAATACCAGACACAAGGGTTGTCCAAGAAAAGAAAGTTATACACTAATCTTGCTGATAAATATAGATACAAAAACCATTCCTTAACCGAACAGATCAAATCCACCAGGGTGTAGAAAATAATACCATTATGACCAAGTACGATTTATTCCAGAAATGAAGATTTTAAAATCTGTCAATTAAATCTACCACAGTATAAATTATAAGAGGAAAAAATATGTATAATCATTGAATACAGAAAAAGCATACAATAAAATTCAACGTGCAAATTTAGAATTAAAAAATACTTCCTAGAAAATATACATAAAGTGGAACTAATAAAGTATCCTTTTTTTTTTTTTTTTTTCTTTTTGAGACAAGGTCTGGCTCTATTGACCAGGCTGGAGTGCAGTGGTGCAATCTTGGCCCACTGCAACCTCACTTCACAGCCTCAAGACATCCTCCCAACTCAGCCTCCTGAGTAGCTGGGACTACAGGCACATGCTACCATGCCTGGCTATTTTTTGTAGAGACAGGGTTTCACCATATTGCCCAGGCTGGTCTCAAACTTGTAAGTGCAAGTGATCCACCCATCTTAGCCTCCCAAAGTACGGAGACTATAGCATAAGCCACCATGCCCAGCCAGAAAAATATCTTTAGTAAAAACTCAAACATCACTTAAATGTAATCTAGAAGCAATCAGGAACAAGATAAGGACATTTACTCTCACTGAATTTGACAATGACAGATCCAGCCAATTAGACAGAAAAGGATGTAAGTACTAAAGGATTTCTGAGAAACTTATTTGCAGGTTATATGCTGTCTCCATAGAAAATCCAAGCAGAGATGGAGAAAGTATTAGTAATAAAAGAGCCTAACAACCTGGGTTACATTCAAGATTCAATATCAGTATACAAACTGTTTATTCCTTTTAAAGTTGTATTAATTTCATCCAAGTTAGCAACATTTGTTTAATGAAATATTATTACATTGTTAAAACTGAACAACAAGAAATGAATTAATATTGTTACCTGCATGTTTTCTGTGTGTGTGTGTGTGTGTGTGTGTGTGTGTGTGTGTGTGTGTTTTAATATATATACTTTAAGTTCTGGGATACATGTGCAGAATGTGCAGGATTGTTATATAGGTATACATGTGCCATGGTGGTTTGCTGCACCCATCAACCCATCATCTACATTAGGTTATTTCTCCTAATGCTATCTCTCCTCTTACCTCTCATCCTGGATAGACCCCAGTGTGTTATGTTCTCATATGTTCTCATTGTTTAACTCCCATTTATGAGTGAGAACATGTGGTGTTTAGTTTTCCATTCCTGTGTTAGTTTGCTAAGAATGCAGCTTCATCCATGTCCCTGCAAAGGACATGAACTCATTCTTTTTTATAGCTGCATAGTATTCTATGGTGTAAAAGTGCCATATTTTCTTTATCCAGTCTCATATTGATAGCCATTTGGGTCAGTTCCAGGTTTTTGCTCTTGTGAATAGTGCTGCAATGAACATATGTGTGCATGTATATATCCAAGGGATCTATTTTTTTTTTTTTTTTTTGAGATCGAGTCTCGCTCTGTCACCCAGGCTACAGTGCAATAATGGTGTGATCTCAGCTCACCTCAATCTGTGACTCTCAGGTTCAAGCAATTCTCCTGCCTCAGTGTCCAGAGTAGCTGGGATTACAGGTGCACACCACCACGCCCAGCTAATTTTTATATTTTTAGTGGAAACAGGGGTTCACCATATTGACCAGGCTGATCTTGAACTCCTGACCTCAAGTGATCCTCCTGCCTCAGCCTGCCAAAGTGCAGGGACTATAGGCGTGAGCCATTACACCCAGCCTCCCTCTCTCTTTTTAATGTATATGTACCTTAGCCCAGGCAAATGTATTGAGAATAATAATTATGACTGTTGCATACTTACAAACAATTGCACAATATTGTTCTGGGACAAATTAGCTATATACTTTTCAAGGGTCTCTTGGGTATAAAATGGGATAAGTAGAAACATTCTGTAATGGTGATGATGATACAGGTAAAGTGGATGGGGGATGGGGAGGAGGAGAAGGAGGAGATGTGGTATGTTATGGATATCTGTGTTTCACCCAAATCCGTATGTTGAAGCCCTAAACCCCTGTGGCATGATGTTTGGAAATGGGACCTTTGGAAGGTACTTATGGTTAGACAACATTGTGAGCGTGGGGCTCTTGTGGTGGGAAAGAAGAGAAAGAAAGAGTTTTCTCTCTTTCTACCATGTGAGGACATGGTGAGAAAATGACCATCTACAAGCCAGGAAGAGAATCCTCACCAGGAACCAACTGGCTGGCACTTTGATCTTAGACTTTCTAGCCTCCAGTTCTGTGAAAAACATGTTTCTACTGCTTAAGCTGCCAGGTCTATGGTGTTTTCTTACGGCAGCTCAAGCTAAGTAAGACAAGATGAATGATGAAGGAAGAGAAAAAGAGAAAAGAGAGGAGAGAGGACAAAGGAGAAAGATGACAGGGAAGGAAGGGGAAGAGAAATAGAAAAGGAAAAGGATGGAAAAAGAGGAGGAAAATGACAACTAACCTTTGTCGAGCATTTAATGTATGCCAAGTAATATATTAAGTATTTTATTTGCCTTATTTTCATTGATCTTTATAGTGAGCCTTTGAAGTCTGTAATATTATATATCCATTTTATACGAGAGAAAAATGAGGCTCAGGTTAAATAACTTTCAAAGGTGACATAGTGAGAAAGTGGGTACAGCCAGAATTTGAATCCATCTCTGTCTACCCAAATTCCATGGTACTCACCACTCCATAGAGGACACTCATCACATATGTTTTATGCTGATTTCAGAGTTTTTTAGGACATGAGGATGAGGAGGTTCTAAAAGGGTCATCTTCATGCTGTCATCCCAAATCCCCAACTGAGCCAATGTCCTAAAAACCTGAATCCTCTCTGCAGAATGCTTCTGGTTTTGCATGTTAAAATTAAGAATGAAAAATATGCACTAAGATAACATTTTTAATGCATTAAGCATTCAAAAGTGCAGGTTTAGTGGAAAGGTTAAATTTGAGGCAAAAATATAACTTGTCAGTTTCCACTGAAAAAGCATTTGAATTCTAGTACATACTGGGCTCTGTGACCTTTTTTTTTTTCCACATAGCAGTCTACCAAGACATGTTCTTTCATCCGCTTACTTCCTATTACTCTTAGACCATGATGCACAGAAAACAAAGTTTATATTAATTTTTAGGGAATAAAATAGACTGTCTCTAAAACATTTGTGTTTCAAATAAACATCAAAAGCAAAATTTATAGTCCTTCCTGGGCTTTTGGCTGTCCAAGAGCTGTATATATATTACAGTTATGTCCCCTACTTCATATAGAGTGTCAGACAGATGCCATCACAAAACATAACTGGTCAGGCACAGTGATGTCTCAAACAAATCTCTGCCATATACAAAATAGTCAAGGGCATCCCGGTTTGCAAGCCCACATTGACAGACTTCGAGACCTGAAAGAGAGCTCTGTCAATCCCCTCCCATGCAGCTGAGAAAACAAGGGAGAGCGAGCAGAAACCACAGGGAGAAAATACACACACACAGAGAGAAAGAAGTTGCTCATATTTAATTGACAGGGGGTGAAACTTACTGAAAAACATGGTCCTGAAACCATGGGACTAAATTCTCCAGAAAACACGAAAAGTGACAGAATTACTTTATCATCACACTATGCCTGCAAATCTTCACTGCCAGATATCTCGGCTCCTCTCTGTCAAGTACTTTCTAAGTGCTGAGACTTAAAATGTGAATAAAACATACAGTTCCAAAGGAGTTTACGCAGGATGTTTTTAATAAAATGAAACATTAACCAAGTGCTAATGAAAAAAAACAAAAACATTTACATCAATTTGGGGAGTAAGAAAAGGCTCCCCCAGGAGGCTTTCCTAAATACAAACCTTGTGAATAAGCAGAAGGTCAGTTAAAAAAAAAAAAAAGATCAACAAAAAAGGACTTCAGGCTGGATTAAGACTCCAGTGATTCTTAAAGTAGGGTCTCTGGACCAGCAGGACTGGCATTACCTGGGAACCTGTTTTAAATGCAAAGTCTTGGGTCCTACCGCAGACTTACTGAATCAGAAACTTTGGGATAACATTAGCAATGACTGCTTTAACAAGCCCTCCCAGTGATTCTGGTCCTGTCAGAGTCTGACAACCACTGGTACAGGCAAAGATGCACTACAGAACATCTGGAGGGTAAACAGGGACAGGGAAGTGGGGTGGTTAGGCAGAGATGTTGCTGGAGGGATGGAGAGAAGGCATATGCAAAAGAACTTTGTATATTATGAGAAACATTTTGGATTTTATCTGGAGAATAATGAAGTACCATTCCATTATTATATTATAAATACAAAACACACAAAATAAATATTTAAAAATATATGCGATCATAAAGACACTTCTTTTCATTATTCCAGAGATTTAAAAACGCATTCCTGTGCAGAAAACTAGCCACTACAGAAGGTCAAATTCAGCCCTACCTTTCTTTCTGGAGTCTTTCTTGGCGCTGGTTTTCACAGCTACTTGAAGTTCTGTCTCAGTTGACATCCTACTTAATCCTTAGTCCACTTCACACAGATCCCGGGCCTCGGCCAGGCTCATTGAGGACTCTTCTCCAAGAGAAAGACTCCTCCCTTCAGAAACGACACTCTGAGCTGCACATTTCACTCACTCTTTTTGAGTGCTGCAAATCAAGGCAAGAGAACATTCAGAATCATCACTGTTATGAAGTTAAACAGAAGTTTTTCAAAAAGTGAATTGGCAAACATACAAACAAAATCTTGGTCTTCATGCAAAAACTGATCCCATGGCTTCATGATGACATTGACAAGGCTTATACAGCAAAGGGAATGACAGGCTTAGCGGCAAAACTGCTTCTCAAACTAGGTAACTCAAAATAGATCTTTAAAAGTCTAGATTTGGCTGGGTGTGGTGGCTCACGCCTGTCATCAGTACTTTGGGAGGCCAAGGCGGGCAGATCACCTGAGCTCAGGAGTCTGCTACTAGCCTGGGCAACACGGTGAAACCCCGTCTCTACTAAAATACAAGAAAATTAGCTGGGCATGGTAGCGAGCGCCTGTAATCCCAGATACTCGAGTGGCTGAGGCAGGAGAATTGCTTGAACCAGGAGGCAGAGATTACAGTGAGCCGAGGATTATGCCACTGCACCCCAGCCTGGAAGACAGAGCAAGACTCTGTCTCAAAGAATAAAAACAAGTCTAGATTTGTAAGAGGGACAAAACCCAACTCTGTTTTCTACGTTCCTTATTTTCAAGCATTAGATGCTAACCAGAAAATATAGCAAAGGTATGTCCTGATCAGCCCCATGGAGACATTTCCAACAAGAGAGCACCCATCCATCAGCCAAGCTTGATCAGCACCTTGGCAGCAAAAGCAGATCATATGGAAGTGACCTGTGGTCTGTCCCTCTGGCAGGCATCAGAGGGGACATGGAGTTGACATACAATTGGGCTCCAAGGGTAAGGTGACAAATGGGGCTGAGAAACTTTCCAGCAAGCCAATTTTTATGTCAGCTTTTCCTCCAGCTATAAAAGCAGACAAGCATTTAATGTGCAGAGAAAAAGAAAAGAAACAGGCAGACAGATTTCATTCATTCATTCTCTAATAAATATGCATTGAATAATACCAGGTTCTATTAAATTCAGACACCATGCTAGGAAGAGAATAATGATAATATTGAAAATACAACCACTTCACTTACAGGTAGTATTTACTATATACTATGCCCTTAGCTACTGCTTTACATATAATATCTCACTCAATCTCATTTAAATTAAACTAATGTACAATATTCTCTCTGACAATAGTCCTTTCCTGTGACTATCTGATAGTTATATCTAAGAGTTCTATTAAAAGTAAACATTTCACCAATTTCCACTTTTGAAAAATATTTTTAAAAAGCTACTAGAAATGGATCTTCAAATTGTGCAGCCAATTCTTAGTTCATTCCACAGATCTAGAACAGTTTAATAGAAACGACAACCTCGAATGCCAGTTTCAGTTCAAAAAGAATAATGACCCAAACCTCTTAATCATGACAATCTAGTTAATCTTAACAGAAAGTCTAATATAAAAGCCACATGAAATTGTAGTAAGGCTTAAATATGAGGAAATTATCACCTTAGTCCAAAGAAAGCTGTTTTATTTATATATAAGCTAACTATTTTTTAAAAAGGAAATAGCCCAAATAAAAGTACTTTATCTAGTGAACCTAAGGCTACAACTAAGAAAAACAGAAAGTCATCTTTGTAAAACAGAGTCCATGAAACTGTACATAGAAAATGAGAATTTATCCTAATACTTTTGTACCATCAATCTATACCTTGCCACCAGCCCCCACACCCTTTCCAGCCCCTCGTCTCCAAGACAACAATCAATGGGAGATTGCAGAATCACAAAACTTGGTCATGTATAAACATAATTAAATTTGTTAATAATATTTACCATTTTATTGCAGCAAATATTTACTAAGAATCTACCATGGGCCAGGTACAAATACTAGCTCATTCACGTTAATAGACATTTGCCATGTAACCATGCTGGCCAAGAGCACATAGTCAAAGGCTGGTTCCTGTCCTCAAAGAAGCTCAGTCTAACAGAGGTATCACTCATGCAAGGGACTGTGATACACATATGTCACCAAAACTAAAACAGGCATAAACACCAGGCATCCTGGAGCAGCAAGGTACAAGAATTCATCTTTGCTTGGAAAACTCAATAAAGCTTCAAAGAGTTTAAGCCTTGCTCTGTAAAATCTTGAAGATTTATGTTTCTGTCAAAAGGATAAGGGAAAGGACCACTAGCTTCTCAATAAATATATGTAGAACGAATGAATGAATGAATGAATGAATGGTTGTTTCAGGCAGAAAGATCAGCATGTGTAAAAGCAAGGAGGGGTGAACTCAACAACCAAACCAGTAAAAGGAGGCACAAAGTCTACCAGGGAGGTAATGCACTTTCCCATCTTCTCAGTTTTTCCTTGTGCTGCTATCTTTCTATGGAATCTCTTGTCTCAAGTCTGCCTTGACATTTTATTGACTCCTCAAGGTTCCGTTCAAAGAGATATCACAGGCAGAATGATGTTCTGATCTCTCTAGTAAAACAGACTCTCTCAACTTATTTTATGATCTGATTTTTGGATAACTTCATTTCAGCCACTTACAAGCCACATGATCTGAAGAAGTTACTCAACCTGTATTTGCCTCAGTTTCTTTATCTGTACAATGGAGATAATAGTGCCCACTGGGGAAGCTGCTGAGGCAATTAAGTATCATCACACACCTATTGTGATTGGAAGAGCATCTGGCATGCTTCCTGGTAAGCATTCAATAAATATTAGGCACATACATTCCTGTGCCACTTACTCAAGACCACATGGCTTTCATGGTATGTGAAAGTCTGTATCATCTCCCCTTTACAAAAGAGGACACTGATACAAGTTAATTTTGCTTTCTGAGGATGAATTGCAGGAAATGGTAGTATGTTGGTCTTGGACACAGTAGGTGCCTAATCTATAAATTCAGGAAGGAGCTTAAATATATGGATTTTACACATTTTCAAGAATTTTTTAAAGGCGGTATATAAAACTGGATTGGATTTGAGCCATTTTCTCTTCTTCACCTTTATAAATCACAATATAGCATATCTCCCTACTCCTATCTTCCAAAGACGCTTGTTCAACAAAATATGATTATGTTCAAGTACTACAAGCATTACTTGTGAATTTCTGAAGTACATCCCTATATCAATAATGAAAGGAAACCACCATCCTATTCTGAATAAAAACTTAAGTAAGGAAGCTACAGTACTGAGAGAATGTACCACAGTGTGGACCTTAGCATCCTCTTTAATTTTCCAAAAGGCAGAGGTTGAGCAAATGCTGTGAAGTAACTCCAAATTATTTAGGAAATTCGCTTCTTTGTAATTAAGGAGATTAAAGTCCTCCAGGGCCAGAAACCATGTGACAACTCAAATCATTTTCCCCAGTAAAAGCTGTGAAACCCTATCAGTTAAATTCAGGCTTGCCTAGAATTTTGAAATGCTTCAATAATATTTCTTTGTTTCACACAATCTGCAGTAATTTAATATTCCTGAAGTGTGTCAGGTTTTTTATAATGAGCTCTTCAAATCTAAATGTGAATTATGTAACATTCCACTACAGACATTCTGTCTAGTGAACTGCTTCTAAAATGTAAAATTTCATGTTTAGTGATGGGGTGGGGGCCAAAAACACCAAACCACAAAGCAGAGAAAACAGATATGTCTTTTTTTTTTAAACGAAGCATGAAGGGTTCAGCAGCTCCAACAGAACAAACATGCAGTAAACACATACTATAGCACACATTTGTGTTCTTTCTTTCCCCTTTCTCTCATACAATCTTACAATAAAACAGCTATTGTTTATTGAGGGCCCACTATTTGCCAAGTACTATGCTATAAGCTGTTCTGGCATTATTTGATACAATTCATTCAACTACTTGAAGCATCCAATATTATTATCTACATTAAACAAATGAAGAAACTGAGGCACAAGCCAGCTTAGGAGCCTGTGCAAAGCCACATAGCTAATAAATAGCACAGCACAGAGCAAGTTACAAACCACTCGTCTCTCCAACTTCACTCAAAGCCCTCCCAGAATTCCATCAGTGGATGAATGGAAAAACAAAATATTTGTACGATGAAATATTATTCAATTATAAAAAGGAAATGCAGTACTGATACACACTATAATGCGGATGAACCTTGAAAACGGCAAGCCAAGTTAGGCAAAATATGTTGCATATTGTATGGTTTCATTTATATGAAATATCCAAAACAGATAAATCCTTGGAGATGAAATACAGATCAGTGGTTGCCAGGGTTAGGGGAGGGGCATAAGGCTGAAGAACTACTTAATGGGTATGGGGTCTTCCTTGGGAGTGATGAAAATGTTTTGGAACTAGACAGCGGTGAGGGTTGCACAACATCATGACTATACTAAGTACCACTTTAAAATGGTTAATTTTATGTCAACATGGAACAAAGGTTTTTAACAGTACACAAAAGAAGTCTCAGTTTTCTCAGCAGTAAAATGGGAATGCCACCATCAAGTATATGAGATTTGGAAGATAAATGAGATTTTGGCGCGAGCTCAATCTATAGCATGCTATCTTTTATCTTCACAGAAACAAACCAGATAACACGGAAGTTGTTTTTCATAGGGAGGAACTGGGTGGTAATGGAGATATGGCAGAGGGTGATACTTTCCAGAATATAGCTTTTTGCATAATTTCCACGTTTGGAAGTATATTAACATTCTATATATCTGAGAAAAATTAAACTAATAGGGATGGTAAGGGGGAACCTAAAACTAAAAGCAGACTGAAGCAAATCAGGTCGATTGTATGTTAAATGGACATCCTAAGCACACTTGCTGAAGCGGTAGAGGGGAAAAAACTTTATTAAATAACTTGTAAACACAGAGTTGGATGGCTCACACCCATTCTTGGATATAGTTGAAGCAAAAGCAGCAGCAAACAAATTCCAACGTCTTTTTAGTAGGCTTGTTTTCTGTGGTTGTTATGAGCAAAGCAATTCTGAAACTATTTTCAATGTTCTATAGAATGGACCAAAGTAGTAAATGCACAGATGTTGCTGGAAGCCAAGGTTCTCCTATGGGAAAAG